AATTTCCTGAGACATTCAGATCCTTTTGTCATTGCTGTACTTTTGACATTGCTTTATTTTTGATATTGAACTGAAATCACAAAACTTCACTTTGCAGCTCTGCTGAGCTCCTTCTAGTTTACATGGAGAGAAACAAAAGTGAAAAACTGACCTTATTTGAGTGCCTAACTCAAGAGCTGAGCTCCTCTAAACATTTGGTTCTCAATGCCTGTCCAGAACTCTTTCCAGTAAGATCTTAGTAAAATAGGCGACATTGCTTTCACTTAAGTTTAAACACCTGAGCCTGTCACCTGACAACCACTGTGATAGAACCAGACAGATCATTCTCCAAAGGCAGTTCAGTGATTTTAAAGAGGATTTCAGCCAGTAGTTTGGATTATTTAAGCATCCAAACGTTAGTGCACATAGACCCCCACCTTGGGATAGATTAAGACAGTAGGGCTTCTCTGAAAGATGAAGACTGAAGTCATAATTACAAGACTTTCACCTTTGAAATCAAGAGTTTCCCAATGCTCAGTAGTCCACCACAAGGAAATTGGGAAGACAGAGGACAAAGTCCATCCAGAGGACAACACAGCAGCTCCCACAGAGCACCTATGTGTTTGCCTGTCTAACAAGGACTGGCAGCAGCAAGCTATCAGAGAAATGCTGTCACAATAATGAGACAAGCAAACAGAGACAGAGGTCTTTTCCAGAAAGTAATCAGTTTTTAAAACAACACAACACTTTCTACTTCAGTTTACTTATACATTTACAAGCTGACGATGCTATAAATTTGAAGAGAACTGTCTTCCATCCTACTTTGATAAATAGATTGCAGACAGTATGACAGCCTTTTTAAATTAAGGACCTGACTTTCATCAAGAGAGATTTCGCAGAAATATCCCCCTCAGCAAACTTAACCTGAACTTTCTCAACGATAGGCACAAAGCCATGCATCCATCCTTCAGGAAGTATTTGTTCTGTCCAAAACATTTTTTTTCTCTCTTTAGTAATTCCTGTCATAAAATCATTCTCTTGCTGGTGATGATTACATTTCAGCTATTACTTGTGGGTTTTTTTTGGGCCACAGTCCTTCGATTGCCCTGCACAGAGGAGCAATGTTTGCTGTAGATCCATTAGACAATGCATCAATACTATTTTGCTTCCTCAGATACACACTTTGAGACAATAAAGGATTATGAAATTACAGTTTATAGCTTTTAACCAGCAGAATCTTGATAGGTTTGCAAATAACTCTTCAGTATGAAAATGGGAAACAGTACCACACCCCAAGATATTAAGAACAAGCTAGATATATAATCCAACCAAATGGATGAGGTAACTTAGACATCAACAAATGTCACACTAATGTTATCCAGACATCAAAGTCTTAGGACTGTAAGATGGCAAACACAGCAGTTCATATGGGGCATCTTCCACCTCCTCCCAAAGCATCCATCCATGCTCCAACATAAGCTCAAATGTTTTGAGAGAGATTAAAGTTGTGGGAGAGTTATTCCCACCATAAAGTACCTGAGCTGCCAGTCTCTTTCTTATTCTGCTTGAAATGCTGAAAGGTTTTGAATGTTTTAAGCAGAGCTGGACATCAAACCTTCATCTCCCCACATCCCCAACACACGGACTAGGTACTGGGCTGTCTGTTAATCAATAACTTTTGAACACAAGCTTCTCCAACCCCTTCAATCTCTTCTTGGACTTTTAAAATACAGGCAGAGAAATGTCTAGAAGGCACAGACAGCTGCTCATTCTGTGCCCATGTGGAATGAGAACTGCCCTGGGAAACACAGAACTTACGATGTAAAGACTGTTTTGGGTACTTGTGGTATTCAGTGGGAGACTTGTGGCCTGCACACTGATTCAGCCACAGAAGGTCACTTAAAAAAATACTGATTGTTGAAATACTTGGAAGAATTTTTTCTTAGCCTCTTTGTGCTCTGGCTTGCTAGGAATAACGCAGAGAATAGCACTTTCCTGCCCTGCAGTGTGGTTTGCAAAGACAAAGAAACCTAGGTAGCTCAATGCTGTGTGTTAGAATACCCAAGACTGATTTGAAGAGTCAATCACTCCAAGCCTATTTTTCACCTAAAGCATCTGCTCTCAAAAGAAAAAAATGAGCTACATACATTTTACATCAGCTTGTGCATGAAGAAAGTCAGGGTTAGTGGATGGAGGCACTCCACACTGAAGCATACAAATTGGCTCACTGTGGGAGTAAGGGAGATGAAAATAACCCTCAGAGTTAAGGAATGACCCCAGGCCAGTCCAGTACAGGAAACGTCATCCAGTCTGCAAAAGTAACACCTGTACCTTCAAAAAGTGAAAGAATCCTTTTAGCAGCAGAAGCTAAAAATACATTCCCTGAATAACTCAAAGGTAAATGTATTTTGGAAGGGAAAATGGGGTAACTGAAGGGAACCCATGGAGGGCTGCGAGTCATCAGGTGTAATACCTGAGACTCTCTTCTAGGACCTCTCTGCATAAACAGTCTGAGATGTAGGGCATGTGGGAGGAAAATCTCTCATGAGGAAGCTCTAAATGAACTCCCCTGAGTACATGAAGAGAGACTTTGTAGATCAGTGAATTTATATCAAGTGCAGTTTTCTTTCATTCCTTCCCCTATAATTTGCAACTTGGATTTAGTTTGTAATTTGGAGGGTTTGGGCATGTTTTATGTCTTTTTATTTTCAGTTTCACCTTCCCCAGTCTAACTCAAAGAGAATTTTCTGATGCCTGGCCAGAATCAAGACAGGATGTAAACATGCTTAAAGTCAGGTATTAGTTCAACAGCAGCACACCTCTCCGGCACATTTCCCCCAAGTGTGAAAATATTAGCTGTGCAGTGACAGGAGAGGAGGAGTTGCCTGCCAGTGGTCAGAGATTGATGGGAAAGCCCTCTGGTACAGGGCGAGGCAATCAGAACATATCTGAATCCCAGGGAACCATTTGCAACAGTGTGCAATGTTATTGAAAGATAAAGCCATCGGGCTTGCACAGTTGGGCCTTATAGAATCAATTTGCAGCTTACAAGCCTCAGCATTGTGGTTTCTGTCCTGCAGTGTGAGAATTTGTTTCTATCAGGCTTGCTACAAATTTTTAGCAGGAGTCCTAACTTGTCTCACCACAGTGTCAGTCACAAACAAGTTACTAGGGAACAGCAAGCCACTGCATGTCAAATTACCAAGTGTGCTTAGCCTCCCTCCATCCAGCTACTCTGAATGCTCCTGAACTTGCTAAGATACATTTGGCCAGTCATGCCTTAACTTGTAAGTATCCTCAAGACTTTTGTTGCAGCACTTCAGTCCCCAAAAAGCTCATCCAGCTTTAACATTGAGTCTAAACGTCAAGAATTATCCCTGCGCTCTTTCTGCTTCCAAATTATATTTGACACATGATGTTACAATTTTCAAGCTAAGTTGTTTCCTTTTGGCATTCACAAGTAGTCTTAAAGCTTCACAGTTAAATCTGTCATGGCGTGATCACATCCTAACAGAATCATCAGCTCAGAACCATCCTCTCCCAGTGGTAACTGAGTGGTATTCCTACAGCAGGGCAGCAGATTATTTAGAAGGAAAAGTGGAATTAAAGTATTTTTTGCTTCTTTAAATACAGCTCACCAGAGGGAAATGAAAAGCAGGCTGCTATGGCTGCAGTCAAGTGTTTGAAAGAAGAGTGGTGATACCCTAGTTTATGCAAGTTGTTTTGTCCTCTAAATTGTTCACAAAAACTCTGTTGCATCTACATATGCTTCTCTAATTATTTTACACAACAAAACTCTTGAATGAAATTATATCATGCACCAGAACCAGTTAACAATTGTATAGACTGAGTGGGGGAAGCAAGTTATGAGCACATGTACAAGTTAATAAATATGAAAATCTTTAAGAATGTTAAGCATTGTGGAAGTCCCAGCAGTCATATGCACACAGGCAAATAGGGCATAATGATAATCCTTCATGTACAGAGGAACTTACATGTCCTCTTTCACTTGTAAGAAACTAGTTTTGTATTAATTAGTGAGCTCTAATCAGTAGGCTCAAATATGCCAGTAACATACTGCACAAATTTTGTGTCAACACATTAGAATTATTATTGCATTTGCACGAACATTGTTGCAGAGTTTTGATGGCTTTAATTGAGACATGCTTTCTCTGATTATATTTTAACAAGATTTATGAATAAATACCACAGCAAGAAGCCTGCAACATCTGGATGAGTCTCGCTCAGAATCATTATGACAGCATTTATTTTATCAGAGTCACTGGAAAATACTCTTATCTCTGGTTACATGACAAGCAGCAAGAATTCAATCTGTGTGTCTGGTGTGTAGGCTGATTGCTATCCCTTTAATAGTCTGCATTGTTAACAGTTGTGCAGCGTCAACTGTTTGAAAGCCTTTTTCCTTCATAATGGAATAAAAAAAGCTTTCCACCTGTCACCCCTGCAAATATCACCACTTCTCTCCCTTTCAGTAAAGATGCTTCTAGGGAAGCTAAATTTCAGCATGGTCTTTTAGAGAGTGACCTTTGTAGAGATGCTGTCAGTCCTAGGTGAAGTGACATGTAAATATAATGGGAAAAGGTGTCACTGAAAGTAGTAATCACAGCCAGATAAATTAAAAATAGAGGGACATTAAAGCAGCCACCCAGTCTTCCCTTTAACAGCAGAAGCCCATAGAGAAATAAAAAAACACAGAACAGTCCAATTTGTAATTCTCCTTAATTGTCAACAGACAAAATATGTTCTAAGATCATTGGATGAGATGAATATACTCAATTGTTTCCAAAAACATATTTCCTACAACATTCTACCATCAGCTTGTTAGCATGTCTTTGCAATCAATGTCCAGGAGTAAAGTTACAGGATAAATGGTAACCAGACTTAAGAACACCCTACCAAGTGATGTCCAAGATGAGAGCAATGCAATTTATTATTTTTATAAAAAAAAAAAAAAAAAAGAACCAAAATAGCAAAAAAATGCCACAAGTGGCAACACTCACCATTCTTTTCCTATGACAATTTGAGGGATTTAATTTCTATTTGCAAATCTCAAAATCCACTCTAAAGAATGAGAATCTGTTGTGCGCTGACTGATGGAGGATCAGTGACCTTCTCTCTTGGCTAGGGAATTTTGCTGGTGAGGAACAAGATAAAAAAGCATGCATTAGGACTTTCTTCTGTGTACTCAGGCTCTGCAGCATCTTAGTACAATGCTTTTGGATTATTGACTCCATATCATCACACAATGAGAGATCTTCCCACAGTCATTGCTCTTTAGAACATATCAAGTCTTCCCAGCAAAATGAATTATCAGTGTTTAGGCATTCAGACCAAAAAAAAAAAACTATCTAGTGAAGTTCTTTGTTAAGAGACTCTCAGGGTGGGGGAAAGGGGGAAGCAGACAAAAGCACTGATTTTGTTCCTGTTTTCCCCAGTTATACAGGTTTATGTTATTATTATAAAAAATATGTCAGGCATATTTAGTGGCAATATTTTTATTAATTGTTTTTCAGGGAACTCAATTCTGAATGAGCAGATGTTGCTCCATTAAAATAAACCACAGCATCTCTTTTGAGGGAGTAAATGATGTTTACCTGAGACAGTGTTTCACAAGAACCTTTATGTCATTATTACTTTACTGGTAGAAAAATAAGCCTCATAACAATGGAATTTAACAAAGAAATAGTATCATAAAATAAAAGGTAGAGCTAATTTTCTGTATATGTTTCTTCAGTGAGGCTGAAGACCAAGAATTTTATTATGGAGTTTGCATTACAGTAATACAGATTTTTCAGCATTTAATTAGGTACATGTTAGGTACGTGTACTTTTTTTTTGCCAGGAAGAGAGGGTCTATTGTTTAATTTTGTCCCATATGTACATATTTCACATGTGAGTTACAGTCAAGAATCCTTACAGACCATCTTGAGCCTCCTTTAGGAAAGAGCACAGTGCAAAGCATTTGTGTATATATCACATTTAAATCATGTAAATTGAAAGCTAACAGTCATACGTTCATTGGAAAAGGTTGCAGAAACAAACCACAGACTGACACGTTCACTGGCACAGGCCATTGCCACATGCTGCATGTAGGGACCTGGGCAAAGTTGCTGTGAAATCCACAAACTAAGCCAAATCTTGCCATACCCCAAAAGAATCTGCATCATTTTGGTGATAGTCATTGACTCGCACACTTCTCTTTGCACTATCAGAGGAGTTGAACACCCTGATCAGGCAACCATTCTACCCACAACCTTGGGGTCACCTCCACAACCACAGCAGGTAGTTGGGAATGGCCATCCATTACAAATCCCACCTTTGGACAAAGGGAGTTTCAAGGGCTCACCATCTCTCAGGTCAGACTGTCATTACCCAAGCCTCAGCAAAGGCCTGCAGTCCCACATGGCAAACAGCAAATCTGGGCTGGCAGGAGACATCCCAGTCCATGGCAGGGGGTTGAAACTAGATGATCTCTAATGTTCCTTCCACACAAACCACTCTAAGAGTCTGTGATGCTACAATTCCACAATTCTATGATTCTACAATTGCAGGATTCTACAATTCCACAATTCTACTAGCAGTTAACAACTGGTTCTCTAACTGCAACACAAGTAACACCTGAAATGCATCCATGCACCTATTTTTTCCCCAAGCCCATGATTTATTTATTCCACATCCACCTTGGACTGCTATCTGAATTGCTGGGAGCTGTAAACCACCACTGATGTGATTCTTGGTCATGTAAGTAAGGACAGTGTAAGCCCTCAAGACCCCAGCTGAACAGGGATTTGGATTACTGAAGCTTGGCAGAGAACATGCCGAAGTAACAAGGATGGGAACTCCAACTATGTGTCTAAAACCTTATGCAGGAAAATCTCCATTGGTGCTGCACCCCTTCAAGGCAGCTCCTGTGAACCTGACTGAAGACCCAGCAACAGACTTCTGTTAATTCCATACTACTCTCCTCCATATGTGCCACCTCTGAGACCCAAAGCTTAGAAAAAACCATGGCTTTGAGGATGCTTTTTTTCAGTTTTGGAAGTAGGTTTAGCCAAACAACTTGTAACTTCAGTGCAGTTTGGCAGGGCATACATACTCTGAGGACGTGGAAAGTACCAGCAATGCAGCTCAGCCAGAGCCATGTGGTGCTGCCTGAAAAACAGGAGGCCCACCAGGACAGGGAGGAAAATCTCTGGGGAATGTACAAGGCATGGAATCGGTCAAAACACTGAAAAAAATTAGGAAAAATCAAACCTCTGATTCCAAGTTAGCCTGGGCTGATCTAATCACTTGCGGTCACATTCCTGATTTTTTGGTTTTGTCCATCATAAACTGTGGCCCTGCACTTTCCCTGTGCCAGCACTGGTCCTCCTCCAAGCCTGCACTGAGCCATTTCAGTTTGCTAAGCTGCAGATAGTGAGTCACCACATCAGCTAGGGAGAAGGCATTGTGGGCTCAGCTCTGCTCTTCCCACCAGACAGCCTGTCCTTTGATCAGCATAGGTGGCTCCACAGCCATCCCTCAGACCCTGGGAAAAGCTTCCAAGGCTAATTCTCAGGGCTCTTCTAATACCATCATTCTCCTTTAACTTGAGATAAAATTGTATTTTCTCCTGATTTTTAAGAATAAGAGGATAACAAAAAGTCTCTTTTTGAAATCTGGTTACTCAGATTTTACATGGATGGATCACTGGACAAATTGTGGTGCTAGAAATCTCTTCCCTGAAATCCCTCTGGAAGCAACACAGCAGCCTCGATTTGATGGATATTTAATTCCATGAAAGGCCATCAGCCAATCACTCACAGCATCCATAATCCTCTCAAATTCGTCAGAATTAAAAGTTCCCCTCTTTAATATGTTAGGGAAGTATTCTCCTTCAGCCTTTAACCCCTCTGAAACACATCAGGAGGAAGGCCAGGTTTCATAAACTGCTAGCATTTTTACTGAAGATATACTACTCTTCCTTCATACATTGAACATATCCTTCTTTCTCTCTTCCACACAAGCACTTAGTTCACATAGGAAGAGCAACTGACCCAACTACCAATTTCCTCTTCTTGTTGATTTTTGCTTAAAAAAGGAGGTAACTACATGCAAAAGCTCTCTTATGGGCAAATACTTCAGATGCTGCTTAGATAAGATCTGTGTTAGGAGTTCTCAAGAGTCTTCCCTTGAGAGGAGCTTTGTCTCTCCCTGACATAATTTATGGAGTAAAAAAGAATGTTTCTAGATGGGAGTCTAACCAGAAAAATGTGAACCTGAAAGCAGGTATTTAAGTTACTGGCTGGGACCATCAGGGAAAAACTGAAATATTCCAGTGCCTGCTTCTTCAGCAGCCCTGTAGTGAGAAACAAAATGATGACAGAAAGCTGCACAAGCCAAGTGCACAAGCATTGAAATGTAAGTACATGTGACAGCAAAATGAATGCATCCAATCCAATGTTTGAGCTGGTGGCTCCCTTTTACTGCTCTTTGGGTTGTAGAATACAATTTGGATGCCTTGGGCCTGAGCTGCAGATGAGCAGCTGTAAAGTTGGCTGTGCTAAGCTTGACTTAGCTTTCTCTAATTTGTCTTGGTATGAGTTTAGACCTCTGCTGAGTACACAAGCAAAACTTGATCATTCTCACATTAATTAACACCTGCAACATTTGACTGCAAAATTGCTTCAGACATGCCTAACACCTAATCCCATAGAAATGGGAGAGCTGTTAAAGCATGGATTGCTCCAGTAGTTTAAAATCATTGTGCAAAGTAATTAAAAACATAATTGTGCTTCCAATTGTTACAACACTTCATTACTTCCTCAATCTCTATTACTTTATTGGTACCAAGTCCCAAATGTGTTAACCTGCCAGTACTTCCTAAAGCCCACAGAGGAAATTCAGTTTCAAACCAAAATATGCCTACAACAGTTATTCCCCATAATGACCGCAAATACTTAATTACAGAGTACCAAGAAATCCTCATGTTCCTTCCTTCCAACTTGCCTTATTCAATGGATTAATTCCTATTTCTCTATTCCCCTGCAGAACTTCTGCAGGGTTTTCCTTTTAGAAGCAGGCATCCAGTGTGGAATAAAGAGAATGACTGCAGCCAAATGTATTATGGCCGTCAAAGTAATTTGTATAAATAATATTTTGAAGGCTAGATATCAACGTGGATTGAATTTTATGGTCGATTTTTCAACTCTAGATATCTGGCCAGGTACAAATACTGGCTTCATTCAAAAGATGCAACAGTGCATCTACAGGAGTAACATTAGTATCTAATAAACTAAACCATTTGTAGTCTGAAGTTTTTGAGGCTCCTAGCATTATGGACAGACTTTACAGGAAAATAGTCATTTTTAAGCACTAAAATACAGCAGTTAAGCCTTTCAGTGTGACATAGATACTAAATCCACTTAGTTGGCTACTTAAATAGTACTTTTAAAAGCTGGACTAGGATAGGTTCACTATTTGCAGACAATTGCAACTTTAAATTTCATAAGGGAGTTCACAGCTGATGGACAATTGGTATTTCTAATTGAAAGCAAGAGTAGGAAAAAAGTGAAGAACCAAGCCAACACGTATTTTGGAGACGCCATTCCCATGAAATGGCTATGTAGAAACTGACCTAGCACAAAACTTCAGTGAATAACATTGCACTTGCTCTACTACCCAGCACCAGCTGGATCTGTTCTGAGCCAAGGCAAAAATGAAGTAATGTTTTGTGACAGAAAGGAGTCAAAAGTGAAATGTGCCATTGATTTCATGTAAAGTGGGACTGCCAAGTGATTTGGTGAAGTATTTTCTAAGATATTCTAGAAGCTCCTCCATGCAATAGCAATTTCTCTGATTAGAGATAGTGTTATGCTAGGACCCATTTAATAGTCTTATCCTGGCCCAGTGTAATAGCTCTGAAAAGATCACATCAAAAGTTTGCAGTTGTCAAGGAAATGGTTGGTTGCATGGGTTTCATTTTTACACTTAACCCCCAGGGTAGGAGCTGCATCTATTCTGGATCAGATCTCTCATTGAAATCCGCTGTGCTACAGAAATGAAGTTTTCCTCCACAGCTATCACTGAAATCATTCATCAAACCCTACAAATTGTCAGAAGGGGTGGAAGAAGCTCCTGAAGCAAAATAAGTTTA